ATTAAACCAAAGTTAATTAATATGCAGTAATTTAATATTACGTTATTCAGTATGATGTAGTGTATCGCCTATTTTATTTTGAATAAACATTTATTAATTGTTCGCTGGTGGCGAAAGACCATTAAACGATTATAATATAATCGTGTCCTGAGAAGCTATAATACACGACAGAGATCGGGACGTTATTAACCCATCGGTAGCAACGGCAMCTATATACCTACTACGATATTACATTATGGTTTATGATATCTGCAGTGCGTCCCAAATATGAGTTTTCAATGTTAAGTTTGATTGTTGAAATACCTACTATTACGACTAATACGACTTGTAACAAAGTGAACAAAACTATAGTGATTAACGTGTGTAATATTATAACATTTTATAGTACCGATACCTCCTGAAGGTTAGATAATACGAGTATAAGTACGTTTTTGTAAAGGTTTAAAGTTTCTTAAGTTTGTTTAACCTTTTAGTTCTTATATCGCAATAATTAGACGACTTTACAACAATAATCAATATTTTTGGATATTTCATCATTCAACAAATTTAATAAAACTTAAGTTTACGTAGCACGCGTGTTAATGAAGAGCGGCCGAAAAAGAAGTAGGTATAGGTATCTTGTATAGCAAAGAGAAAATATGTATGAATTAGAAATATGATAATTCACGAGATTCTTAATACATAATAAAACTATAAAGTATGTAAGAAATTGTTATTATTGATGACCAATATAACAATAGTTTTAAGTTTAAACCTTTGATTTGATTCGTATCTCCAGACTTATTGTGCACTATGACAGATTCTATGCAAGAAAATAGGTGCAATAAGACCGCTAAAACGTGTGGTGATATTATATTGTAAACGCCTCAAAGAGCCCCCACGGATTCTGCCCCCTTCATACATACTCTCTACTACTATAATAATTACATTACGAAATTGTAACTAGTTATGACCTAAATATTGTTTTATTTTTTAATGTAATTTGTATGCTATTATAACCTCCGACGAAAGATAAACTTTAGATTGACTGGTTCGTTCCATTAAAAGAACATAATTTATGTTTTTAGTGCATATTTCAATAATTTATTGAAAATCAATCACTTCGGTAAATATTTTTCATGAATCAAGGTCAACAATAATCATATTACATTTTTATGAAGAATGATATTATCTGCATTAGCTGTATTTTCGTTTTTTCAAAACATTTATAGGTACACATAGAAAATTAAATTAAGTTAAATAACTTAAATGAATAAAAATAAAATATTTAAAGAAATAATTCAGGTAATTTTTAACTGCATATTTTAAATTTTTTGATGCACAAGTGCATGCTTGATGATTTTTTTTAGTGCTTAAATTTAATATGTTAACTTTAATTATAAACTTAATTTTTACTGATTTCAACAGTTTTCCTTAATATTTTAATATTCATACCAACTATATAAAGTTTTGTAGCTTTATAAAATATTGTAAATTTCTTTCAAAAATTATTAAAAAAAAAAAAAATCGCGTGGAAAACATTTTTTGTAATCGAAGTAAATAAATATACAAATGGCGTAAGAGAAAAAATACAGATAGTTAAAAATAATTATAGAATATCGTTCTTAAATAATAAACATAG